TTATTTTAAGACAGTTACCCAGGATGGCCTGAGACTCTGGATTCTCTTGTTAGCCTTCCAAGTAGGTGGGCAACCACCACACTGAGCTATGCAGTCTATTTATCTCTATTTACTTTTTTTTTTTTTTTATCTCTATTTACCAAGAGGAAAAAAAATGAAAACATATCAAGTACCAAGAGTTTTTCATATACTACCTCAGTTAATTTTCTTAGTAACTTTATGAATCTAGAGGACAAAAATGAACCAGAGATACAAGGAAATCTCCCCAAGTAACGCTGGTTCTAAATGATGGAATAAACTCAGGATACGTTCAATTCAAAGCTCAGACATGCTCTGTGCACTTCACTGTACCATCTATAGCATGACAGACGTGTGAGTATCTACTTGCCTGAATGTTAATGTCTGCCCACAGAAATAGGTTGGCGCTCTGGAGTAGAGAACACCGGAGGATTCAGAATCATTCCGGAGTGCTATATTTCTTCGACTGCTCAAACTGTACCCCTCAAAGCCAGTTGTCCACTCTTTTAAAAAGCAAAGATTGAAAATTATTAGAATCTTTACAGGGATAACTTGAATATAAACACGTTAATTAGAACTTAGAAGCAGAAGTGACTATTCACAAAGGTCATGGCAATGTTTAATAAAAGATTCAGCAATGAGGTACCATGGTGAGTCCAAAAATTATTACAAATATTTTAAATTATTTCAGTGCAACTTTGGCATGGAAAATCAAGTGTTATCTCCTATCTAATAAAATTATGGCTCAAGCTGACTTATTGGGCTTATTCTAACATGACCAAGAACTAATGAATAGGGGCTGGAGGTGTAGCACAATGATAAGAGTGCACACTTAGCATGTGTGAGGCCTTAGGTTCAATTCTCAGTCACACACATACACACATCCTGAGCCAGCCAAAAAAAAAAAAAAACTAAAACCAAAATTTAAAAAAAAAGATTCTGCTTCTCAATCTCGGAAGCTAAGCAAGGTCAGGCCTGGTTAGTACTTGGATAGGACATTCTGCCTCTAGTGTGTCCTCCAAGAACCCTATATTAAAGATTTGGTCCCCAGTCTGGCACTACTTGGTGGTGGCAGAAACATCAGAGGCAGGGTCCTTTAGGAGGCTTGGACACAAAGCAGGCCCTCGAGGGGTGAAGAGGAAGCTCACACCCTTCCACTTCCTCTCACTGCCTGTGATAAGTTCTATTCTGCTGCATTAGCCACCATGATGCACAGCCTCATCACAGGCCTCAAGGTATCAGAGCCAAAATTCCAAAACCGGGAGCCAAAGAAAACCTTTTTCTTGTTGAGTCAATTATCAAAAGTATTTATTATAGAAATGAAAGCTGACAAACACAGACTCTTTTTCTTTTTTTTCTGCTCATACATCCTTCATAAAAGGTCAGTGGAAGTGTAAAAGTAAGAGAACACGAACTAGCATACCACTACTACTGACAGTTCAAATGGTTTCTCAGGAGGCAAACAACATTGGCTCAGATAAAACCATCAAGTACTTTCCATGCTTTACACAAGGGACTTGAGGTACGTAAGTACTCTAAGTAAAAGTCTACCACCTCAAAACTCAAAACTTAAAACTTCTCAGTATGCTACACTGAGAAGAGTATGGTGAAAATCAGACACTGTTTTATGGTTCTGAATCAAAACTGCGCTTTAGATGGAACAATGTATACCCATAAATTCAGCTACTCAGGAAGTTGAAAGCAGGAGAA